ACTGGGGAGTGCACAAAGTGCATCCCCATCAGGGTGCTGGGCTCCACTCATTCCAATTGCTCTGTCTACATTAACTTTCTTTTCTCTGCCATTTCCAAAACCAGTGGGGTCTTGGTAAGTCGGGGGGGGGGGATGCAGATTAGACCACTAAAGCGGCAGTCGACCACTCCTGGAATATAGCAGAAACAAGTTTCAGAACATCTATTATTGCTCTGTAGAAAAGAAGTGCTGGCATATTGTGTCGTTAAGCCAATTACATGGTGGAAAGGCATTACACAATAGCCTTGGGGCAGCTGAAAGGATGCCCTCCAAATGCTGGAGGACTCCCATCAGATCCAGCCAGCATGGCCATAGGAAAGGGGTGATACAAGTTGTAGTCCAACACCTTCTGGAAAGCACTGTGTTAGCTACCCCTGCAATAGCTTGACCTTTTCAGCAACCTCATGGTAACTAATACAATAGGGGAAAGCTTGATCACTGCCATGAATGCTTGGGGCTGGCCACAGTTTGGTGAACTTTGATTCCTTCCAAGACTTTGAAGGAATGGTTTGTGCAGCATACAATACACCAACCATATGACAGTCAGTCTGAAATCTAAATGAAGGAGGGGGGCTGTTTTGCTGGATATGAATTTTAGAAACATGGCCCTATCCTCTGTAAGGCTTCTAAAATGCTTGAGGTACATTGCTTATGCAGACTATGCAGATCTCTATGGCTTCTTCCTACAGTGACTGGGTAATGATGCTCCCCGCACTCTCTTTTCACCCATGAATGGAAGCTATCTGGGACAATCATTATTTCAAATCCCTTGGCTTTTAAGATTAATGGTGGCAAATGGATCAGTCTTCCCTAAAGGCTCTGTTTGCACCGGCTGCTTTTCAGAAATGCTGCATTCATGTATTGTTTTGGCAATGGCTCACAGAAATCCTATCCCAGAATGCCAAGGAGAGCCTGTTTGTGTATCCCAAAACTTGCAACTGCTTTAGGTGTGATGGTGGAATCACAGAAGAAATTAAGCAGCCTAGGGAAAGGAGACATATTTGATAAGACAGTCACTGAAAATACATATTAAGTCATCAAGGTGGTTGTAGGGGAAGAGGCGGTATTACAGGAGGCCCTGATGCAAATGGTAGCAAATGATGAGGAGCCTCCGCCTTCACAGAGGTAGGGTTACCAGGTCTGGAGTGGGGGGAGGGATAAGCAGCAGTGGCAGGTGCCCATTTGGGCTGGTAGGGTGGAAGTCAGCAAGCTGAAACAATAGGTGGAGCAAGAGCCAATGACAGGCAGAGCCAATTAATTTTAATATTGTTGTTGTTTAGTTGTTTAGTCGTGTCCGACTCTTCGTGACCCCATGGACCAGAGCATGCCAGGCACTCCTGTCTTCCACTGCCTCCCGCAGTTTAGTCAAACTCATGTTAGTAGCTTTGAGAACACTGTCCAACCATCTCGTCCTCTGTCATCCCCTTCTCCTCGTGCCCTCAGTCTTTCCAAACAGGGTATTTTGCAGGGAGTCTTCTCTTCTCATGAGGTGGCCAAAGTATTGGAGCCTCAGCTTCACGGTCTGTCCTTCCAGTGACCACTCAGGGCTGATTTCCTTCAGAATGGATACATTTGATCTTCTTGGGACTCTCAAGAGTCTCCTCCAGCACCACAATTCAAAAGCATCAATTCTTCGGCGATCAGCCTTCTTTATGGTCCAGCTCTCACTTCCATACATCACTACTGGGAAAACCATAGCTTTAATTAATTTTAATATTGACCCCATCCTCTTCCTGGCTGAGTTCTACAAATGCAGCTTAAAAAGGAGGAGGGAGCTGGCCTGGGTGTCAGTAGGAAGGCAGGCAGCTAGGCAAAGGTGGTGGGGCAGTTTCCCATTAGCCTGAAATTCAGTGGTCATTAGGAGCAATTCAAGGTATCAGTGGCAAACCAGCTGTGGAAGGGAGAGCCAGGAAACAGCTGGTGCTGTACTGAAAATGTATTCTCTATTTTTTTCTCTCTCTCCTCAACTACTCTCCATCAATAGATGAGGAAAGAAACGTCATCTGAAAATTATTACAGGTGAGAGAAAGTTTTGGTGAAACACTCCTGAGTGGGGAGGCTGCAGAGCACTGGAGAAACATTCAACAGAAAGAAAAGCAAACACTCTGCCCCCACCCCCAGTTCTAATGAAATTCTAAAACATCCTGAGACTGAGGCAGCAACACAGAGCTTCTTTTTAGCGGGGAGTGTGGAGGGAATTCAAGAAACTGGAGTACACAATTTGGCTTAGCACTTTGTGCATGTGTATGTGTGTGCGTGCATGGACATACGTATGTGTGTGTGTAATTGAAAGTCTTCAAGCATTTTAAAGGATCTTATGTGAGGATATGTACTCAACAAACTCCAAGTGATTTCTTAGCAAACTGCTTTCCTTCCCAGAGATCTATTAGAAGCACAATTGGCCTATATTTGAAATTTATTTGCTACATTTATATAAACTGCCTTTCTGCAGTGCACTCAAGATACTTCACAGCTTAAAATAATGGCTTACAATCTAATAGGCATGATTCAAAAGGGATGGGGAGGGAAATAAATGGAAGTGAGGTTCTTCTGTGGTCACTGCCTTGAGAGACAGATCTGGAAATGAAGGAGTCAAAATGGTAGCTTGTCAATGGTCTCTCCTCTGCCTTGGATGAAGCCAGGTGGGTGGATTTCAATTTAGACCATTCTGGAAGAAGATGAGCCAAATGGCTGTTGGTCCCAACTAATCTATAGAGTGTACCTTACTTTGCCACCTCTCCCTCAGATGCAGACGGATGGAACAACCACCAATGGACTTCAAGTTCTTGGAAAGAATGAGCCAAATGTCAGTTCCAGCCAGCCTGATGGAAGACTTGATGCTTGTCATAATGATATGAAAACTTTGGCATGCAAATAGAAAACCATGTTTTACAATTTGGGAAGTAGATAGATGAATAGAATTGGATAAGTAATGGGTTTATGTTTACTGGATAATTTCATCTATCACAGGAGTGAGGAACCTCAGGCTCAGAAACCAAATGTGGTCCTCTGGGTCTCTCTGTGCTGGTCCAGGGGGAAGGTTACCGTGGGGCGAGGTCCAGGACCTGAGTCGAGGGTCGGCAGACAGTCCTCCACGGGCGAAGCGGGGTCCACAGCGAGGAGCCGGGCAAGGACAGGAACTCTGGGGGAACTGGACTGGGTGCTGGCCGAAACAGCTCTTCAATGACGTTGCTCCCGCAACCTGGGACCGGGCTGACTGGCCTTTATCTTCTCTGAGGCCAGGGGAGGTCCCGGTCCCCAGGAGACCCGCCTTTCCTGGCCTTAAGGCGAGCACTCCTCCTGGGAGAAACCAGTTCCCTTCGCCTCTCTGCCCTGAGCCTCTGCAGTTCAGGAGAGGCTGAAGGGTTACTCCGGAGCCAGAGTGGATTCACCTGGTGCCTGCTCCTGAGGATCCGGCACAGGTGCAGGCGCTTCAGAATCAAGGCCCTGCCCCAGTTCAGCCGGCCCTGGAGGCGGGGACTCCTGTGCAGGCTGGGATTCCTCCGGTTCAGCCTCTGAATCGGATTCCCAGGCCATCACACTCTCTTTCTGACCCTCAGGTCTGTTCCCTGCCCATGCCCCCTTCCTGGGCATGTTCTCCTCCCTCATCCATTACTTTTGCCTGGCTGGGATATGTCTGTGAACTGCTCATTCCTCTTCCCTGCTGGGTGGAGGATGAAGAGATATGGGTATGGAAACTTTTGCATGGCTGAAATGTAGCTTATTGTACAAAGGTAAGAGTCACATCCATTGTTCTGCCCACTTTTACCTCTGCCCAACCATTTTTGCATCTGGCCATACTTACCACAGCCATGCGGGCCCTGGAAATCTGCCCATGAGGGAATATGGACCTTAGACTGGAAAAGGAGATCTATTGCTTTGCATCTCATTTCTCCTTCAAGGAGGCTCATTGGGTTATCCCAATGTAATCCACCAGAGGATAAATGTGTGAAATTGAATATGAAATTGTTTTAACCTCTTGGTGTGCACATCTGCCCACAGGTCTCTGAGTATAGCACGCATTGCTTAGAGTACTTGTGGGATTTTTCTTGCCATCTTAAGAGGGCATTAGAGCAAGGTCAGTCATGCATTGGCACCACTGGATTTCTCATTGCTATTTAATGATCAACTGACCCATTGAAAAGCATTGGCTTTGCGATGACACTACATGAAATGAAAGTTGTTGCTATGATTTGAGATTAATTCACACATGCAAGTCCCCAAGGGAAGAAGGTGCATATGTGAACTAAGCTCTTAAACCAAGCACTGGCAGATGTTCCTTTTTGTAGCTAAAGTTGTGCTGAACCAAGAATTGCAAATCAGTCCTTCCTATTGTACAGTGTCATAGCATAAATATCTCCTGCTCAAGGCAATCCAGTGAGCCTGAGTTACCTACCATCAGCACAATGAACATGATGTGACTTGCAGGCAATCGGTTTGCAGCACACTTTGAGCATGAAGTTGCTCACCTTCAAAATGATATTGACGCCATTGTTATTGCAGAATCTGTCCACGTGTCTGACATACCATCTGAGTGTGGTGGATCAGTTCCAGTTACTGCAGCCTAATGACCTGGGCAAGGTGCTCGTCACAATGCATCAGACAACTTGCTCATATACACCACTATTTACGCCATCCTGTTTCATTTATACATTCTTTTCTCTCTCCATGCATACTAAGTGGCCACCCGTAATTAAACAGAATGCTTCTTGTCTTTGGAAGATTCCCTTTGAGAGCTGGTGGTTCATTTTTACTACTCATAAAAGTCATATGGCTAATAAGTAACATTTGTGACCTTTCAACATGGTGATCATTCTGAACCCACCAACAACTACCACGTGTTTGGCCCATCTGTCTTCCTTCAAATCAGCTTTTTCTCTCTTCTGCAGAATACAGAAAAAAAACATTTAAAAAAAACAAAAGACCCTGCATAGGGGGGCAGGGAGGAATCACTTGAATAGTTATTTAAAAGTGCTTTAATTTTCAATATTTGATGGAATAAAGTTCAGATGTTTCCATGCTGGCCTCAGTGTGGGTGGATATTTGAAGTTCTCAAAAAACAGGACATGCAACTTCCAAAAGATAGATATTTTAATCTCTTTCATCTGCTCCAAAGCATGCTATTCACTTAAAAGCAAAGATTCTCTGGTGCATATAAGTCAATTGACTTATTAAAATGGGGAGAGGGGAAGGCTCACGCAACAATTAACATTTTCCTTTATTCTCTTTGAGCTCTCTGTGCATCTGTCATTTATTCTAACAAATGGTCTTGGGTTGTCCCTTAGGAAATAAGGAGGCCCAGACAAATTGATGCATACAGAAAGATAGTATGTAATAAAAACATATTTGCATTGTTCAAAAATCAGCCATGTGTTTGCAGTTTTCATGCAAAACCTTAAAAAGCCTAACCTTCAAGTGATTACTTGATGACAATTGGATTGGGGACTCATGTTGTGCCTTGGGTGTGGTCTGAAGGCACAAAAAGCCACCATCTTGCTGAAGCTAAGCATATCTGAGTCTGGTTTGTGCTTTGATGAGTGCCCAACTGGAAACCACATGTACATTGCTCTGAGTTCCTTGAGAGAAGAAAGGTGGGGTATAAATGTCGTATAATAAATAAATAGGCCCAACCCAAAATGATACAGTGCTGTATTTCATTGCAACCCTGCTTTGGGGAAAGTGGGGGCTGTGATCATAGGAATCCCTGAACACAAGGTTCAGGGTTGTAAAGGGAAAGTTGTAAAGGTAGCCATGTTGGCCCATAAGAAAACCCCAAAATTCTTATTGGAACAATACCTTTCTCAGGCCAACCAAAACATCACAGAGTGATGCACAATTTTTAAAGTTTGGGAGTAGAAGGGGTGGTAACACCATGAATCTGCATTTGCAAAGTTTCTTGGTTAACCCAATAAAGATATTGCCCTAAAACCTTGACTACAACAGGTGGTGAAAACCATGTGAGCCTTATGACCTTATAGACAGCTTTTAAAACATGTTGGAAAAGTTTATGCTTTTCCATTCTCCTAGTTGGCAGTTTGATCCGCATGTCTTTTTTTCTTATACTCACCTACACATTGACTCCATGCCCCCCCCCCAATCAAGCCTTATAGCTCTAGTAATAAAATACTTCCAAGGAAAGTCATTCCACCTCTTAACTGCAGAAATATGTTCATCCTCCTTTACATGATAACTCACTTTGATCTTCAGCTTTGCTTTTTGGCACTTGGAAATTTGTTGGAATCATGATGATGAGAAATGAAGAAAGCAATGATGGATGGGAAGGTAAGAAGCAATAGCATCCTGCTTGGTGAATGGAAAGTATTTGCTAGTTGGAAGAAGGAGGAATTTGGGTTAGACTGATACTCCTAGGAGATCTGGGCAAATGAGTGAAATTTCTTATCTAGTAGACAGATAACCTCAGCACAATTTGGCCTTTATTGCTGCCAGTGAATCTCACTGTAGGGCTTCTGTGGTCCACAGAATGAGGCACCATTAAATGACTCACTAAATAATCTCACACTGTCAAAACCAGCAGGTGATCAACACTAAGCTTCTTTTGGCTAGACATAGTTTTTATCACTGTTAGTTTAGTATGCACCGTTTCCTCCATGCAATTCTTCAGCAGGTGAGATTTAGCCAAATGTATCTTTCAGACAGCAGGTAAAGTAGTAACACGGCGGCTCCAATGTAATTGAAACAACAGTGGGCTGTGCCAACAGAATGAAGGTTGCACTAGATAAGACTAAGGCATCTGTGGGATGAGACCCACAGTAGATGTTGCAGCCGTTAACTTTCTCAGTCTTTATCTTTTCCATTATTGTTTGAGAGCTTTATTCCAGATTAGCGGCTTCATGCTTAGCAGGCAGGGGAGGTGAGAATTTAGTGAGATCCTTTTCACAGGAGGAAAATGTGTAGCAAATAGCACAGTCAAGGTAATATAATGCTCTGAGCATGCAGTACTCCGTGAGTTGTATATGTTTGGCTTTGTGCAGTTTTCGTTAGCAAGCTTCACTTTTTGTAACTTCAGAATTCAGGCACACAAAACTTAGGGCCTTAAACAACATGATGTTAAAATACGCTAGTTGTTAAAATCATAACTGGAACATTACTCATTTGCCTTGTTTTACAGAAGGCAAGGTGGTAAGGAAGGAATAGTAGCTGGCTTGCCCACAGTCAATGTCAAGATTCCCCTTTCACACTTAAAAAATGTAATCAGTCAATCCTGGGCATTTTATTACAGGTAACTCACAACTTGCAAATATTTAATTTGTGTTCATTCAGCTTTACACACTTGGCAGAAAATATAAAAAGGGGGCAAAAATAAAAAGACTTTGGCAATCCCAACCACCACTGAACCCAAGGTGTTTTGACTGTATGTTATTTTGGCTTTATGCGCTATCCCTGGAACATAACCCTCTCATAAATTGAGAGTCACCTGTATGTTCACATTCACTGCCAGACTTTTTCAAGTATGGCAGCTGTCATTCACTTCTATTCTCATTGTGCCCAGGATCAAGAAATTGCCCCAATCTAGATATATCATATATAACATGGGGGTGGGGTGGGGACAACAACCGCTCACGCTTGCACTCTAGCTAGCATGATGAAGAAGAGACAGTGAAAAACAGAGAAAAATTCTTACCTACCAGCACTTAGATCCAAAGCAGCCACAGCATGTTATGTTTTCTGGATTATCAAGATCTAGATGCTTAACATCATGCTCTTATACTTTAGCCCATTACATGGCGAAAACAATGTTGGAGGGAACAAAATGCACTTCCTTCTGCTGTGATGACGAGAACATTATCTGTAAGTGGCAAAGCGTAGCCCTTAGATTGAATGAGCTAGATAAGTGTAAAGTGCACATCAATTTAATTATTTACCATCATTGGCTCACTAATTACCAAAGTTAAAGAGCTAAGAAGGCAAGAAGCATGAGCAACATCCCAAAGTAGCAGCAATTTCAGAACGGAAAGCAAATGAGGATTTTAATTTACACAAGGGCAGCCAATAACACCGAAGTTCAGAAATAAGTGTCTGTTCCACTTCCTTGATTTGTAAATGGTCTGATTTGCAAACAAACGGAAAACTCTGTGGGGTGTCTTAAAAGCTGGGTGTGCAACACAGTGCAGAGTTCATCTCTGTTGTTGCCTTTAAATGCGGTGGCCTCTAGTTTTGCCCTTAAAATACAAGGCTGCTCCAAATTATGAAATATTTAGAAGTGGCTTGAAAAGTATGATGGGAATGTTCCAATCTGGTAGGTTCAGTTAAATGAACTTAAGTGGCGCAGCCACTTAATTCAGTTGAACTATTTGCATTAGGAAGTGAATTCCATTCTAATCTCCAGTGTGTTTTGGTAATTATTAGATACAAATTTAGATAGCCTACTTTGGGGGGGGGACCTAAAAAGGAATACTTTTCCAAGACTATCTATTAATACAAACTTTTTGGAAGTGGTTTATTCCTGTTTTAACCATCCTGAACAATTTAGTCACATCAGCAAACCTGAAGGGAAATTTGGTTGGCCACTTTCAGGCCCACCCTTGACATCTATAATTTGATTGGGACTTGTGCAAAAGGGCTTGCCCATACGCTCTGTGTAGTCTGAGAATGTTTTATTTGAACCCTGCAAAATTGAGAGTACAGATCACATGTTTGAGCAATCTGTGCATGGGAAGGTTCACGAATAGGTTCTTGTACATACTCTTTCCCATTCATTGAAGTCAAGGCCAGGCTCACTGTCTTCCTTCTGGAAGTTCATCTATATGATGATTATCTGTGTAGGTCTCTATAGTTCTTTAAATTAGTGTTTGCTGCCTCAACTTCTTTTCCCATTCTAAATCCAGCAGAACGATGCTGGAATAAACATGGTCATATCAGTCTTGGAGTATATCTATAGGCTACCCCATGACGAACAATTCCTTTTTATTCTTTCTGCTATAGGTATAAAATATAAATTAAGGGAATGATGTCAGCACTTAGTTTTGAGCTGCTGGGTTGTTGTGACTCACTTTTTTATATAATAGTCGTGGCTTGCTTTGGATGATTAAATCTTGTGCATTGCATTGTGTTTGTATGCTATTATCACTCGGCCACCTGTAACTGTAAAAAAAGAGAGAGAAAGTGGGGGAGCCCTGTAAGCAGACATGACGTTAAGTGGTAATGGAATCATTTTATAGCTCCTAGAAATTGCCTCACTGACAAGAATGCTTGAGAAGAACCAACAGCAATAAACACTATGTGGAATCAAATTAACAATATCCAGGAAGCCAATGATTAACACCATGCCAGTTGCTTAAAGCTGCATGTAGACAAGAGGATGATGGCAGGATAATAGACAACATCGTTGGTCTTTTATAAATGTGTTAGTAATAATGAAATCAATACCTTAATCCTGAAGGGCAGTAATACAATAAACCTTATTAAGTGTGTACAGTAACAGTGGATTTTCTGATAACAGAGGAACAGGACAATATATGAAAAAGGGGACCTATTGGAACTGAAAAGAAATAAGGAAGTCTGGAATTGAGCTTCACAATGCTAAACTGGGAAAGCAACGATTGAATTCACATGCCCAGAAGCATACATATATTCTGCTTTAACTTTTTGAAAAGTTAAAGGCAGCTATTTCTGGGAACATTATACAAATGATTCTCCAGAGTTTGGGGGCATCAGTTTGCACCCTAGTCATCTTGACTTGGGCTGCAAATGATAATTATGAAAATAATTTAAGGAGGAGAAGAGAGTGCTATTCCCCCCACTCCCATTCAGATGAGGAAGAGCAAAGACATAAATTGTAGAATTTATAGTTCAGCCAACCTGTTTCTCTCTCTCCCTGTCTATATTCTGACCCTTTTGACAACATTGGCTGTTGAATACAACTGGAATGAGGAGAATTGGAAAATATCTCAGTAAACATTCTCCAGTTTTTCTGGACTACTGGAAATCAAGGAGGAACTGGAGACAGATTTTGTTGATGCATAAAATTTGGAAGATTCAGAGAAACATGATTCACTATAACGATCCTTACAGATTGCACAGCCTTCCCATCACTGAACTACGGAAACAGAAGAACTTAAATAAGTTTCAGTGTAATAGGAAGGCTCTTTGGGTCAGACAATAGAGAGATCACAGACTAGTGCGAACTGTAGTATGCCAGCAGGCTTAAACTAATGCTTGTAGAAAGATAAGAGACTGGCTCTAAGGCACTGGCAAAACAAAGCAAATATTTTGCCTGCCCCTTCTTCTGAGATTTCTGTGTGGTTCTTAGAATACAAAATATTTAGCTTCATTTCCTCTCTTTTTTATTTGATAAGATGCCAACTCTTTACCATTGCTATTTTTCTAGAAAAAGAGGTGCCGGAACTTGCCATGAGCACCTCCCTTTTTCTCTTACCCTGTTGGTGTGCTATGTATAGATGTTGTGTTCTGAGGAGGGAGGTCTTTCCTCCTTGGTATCCAGTATACCAGGCACGTCCAACTTCCAAGAGACTGTGATCTACTCACAGTATAAAAAGACCGGCTGTGATCTTCCCATTGCCATTGCCAGGAGTTGTTTAGCTTTTTTTAGGGGAGGGTTGGCCAAAGTTATTGAGCTTTTTGGGAGGGAGGGTTTTTCTTTGGGGGGAAGGGTACTGTGATCGACCTCAGACACCCCCACGATCAACTGGTCAATCACGATCGACCAGTTGGACATGCCTGCAGTATACCAAGACTGTTCAGCTTCCCTGCCTAACAGCTGATAGTTGGGGCAGTGCAGCAGCAGCTACTTTCCCATGCATCCTCCAGCCAGCCCCAGAGCTTCAACTCCAGATATTTTGGGGAGAGAGTGGGAAGGAGAGCCGGAGATCAGGAAAAAATCAGGCATTCGGAGGCTTTTCAGAAGGTGCTCCCCACTTTGCACAATTTCAGTTATGGGGGGAGGCAGACTGTAAGCCTAGTGTAAGTGAGGGGACAAAACCCCCAAAGAGAAAACAAATTATTTCCCTTGTAAATTGAAGGAAGACAAAATGTTTATTGTACCCTGATTATCATTTGGTAGGGCCACTACAGGCTCAATCAGCCTCCCCCAACCTCATACCTTCCAGATGTTTTGGAATGCAACTCCCATCAGTCCCAACCAGCATGGCTGGTGGTCAGGGGGATGATGTGAGTTGTACACCCCCAAAAAAGTTTCTGGAGAGCACTATCTTGGGAAAGCCTGGCTTGGATAAAAGTGCAGCGTCCACAAACAAAATAAGGAACTGACTAAAGCTGTCCATCTCTGATTTAATTGAATCATTTCTGTGCCTTTTCTCTTAGAGCCCTTAATTCAGAGATATATACATTCATCATGTTCTCATATAAATCTCTGTAGGGCTCTGCTTAAGTGCTCTGTGAACAGGTAGCATCTGTTTCCCATGTATCTGCACGAAATGAACATTCTCTCTCTCTCTCACCTACCAGGGGGTTTATTTCACCATTTCTCTATGCAGACAATGCTTCTCTGCTAGCTTCTAAAACTCTTAAGCCACGTAAGAAAGGAGCCATTTATAAATAACCCAATTGTTAGAAAACACCCTCAAGCACGTCTTCTTGCAGTGTGTACTAACAGCTTTTCCTTGTTGTTGTTTATTATTTATCCTTGCTATGAAAATCAGATTTTATCGTGGCCGTGTTCAATAGTCTGCCGTGAAATATGTATGGCTGGTCTTGTTTCAGCAGCTACCATTCACAAATTGCTCGCAAAAGGCAACCCAGAGGCATTAGAGGCAGAAACACAACTGACACACGACTCTTGAATGCCATTACCTTCTGCCAAGTATCCAGTTGTGCATAATGTTAGTTTCTAAATGGTCCAACAAATACCCCTTCCTTCCTTCCTTCCTTCCTTCCTTCCTTCCTTCTCATGCTGCCATAGTATATCGAGGGTCTAGCTGCTTGACAGTGTGACAGCCTTGAGGTTCTCATGGGTCCAAGATCCATCCTGCCATCTTTCCAAAGCCCATCTGAATTTTGGAAGGAGGAAGTAGGGCTCCAGCATCCTGTCAGAGCTCTGGCACTTCCTTCACAAAGCCTGGGAAGCTTCTGCCTGGCTTAGGGAGGCACAATGCTCACATGCACGATGTCAGGATGTCACAACGTCACATGCATGACATCAATCCCCCACACCCATCGCATGCTAGCACCACTAGCCCTATGAAAGATTTAACGACACACCACTGCTTGAGTGGCTCAACTCATAGCCATCAACTGTTCTAGAAAAACCAGGACATCCTGTGAGAGTATGGCAGCCATTTTGGCCACCTTGTTCTCACACAATTTCAGACCAAGAATACACTGTGGAAAAAGTTTTTTGGGTCTGCGACCTTGAGTGGTGCCCCAAAATGTATATTTTGGGGTACTATGCCTCCCAAAAGTGCCTTTTCCAGGTCCACAATCTAGCACTGGTCACATGACTCACACAAGATTTCAGACCAGGAAATGATGACCCGGATTTTGGCCGCTTTGTGTTGGAGTGTATGTCAACTTGAGGTACTACTGTGGGAAACTAGGGCCACATTCATGCCATACGTTTAAAGTACAATGAAACCGCTTTAAACAGTCATGGTTTCCACCAAAGAATTTTGGGAGCTGTAGTTGGTTAAGAGTGATGAATGTAGTTTGGAGACCCCATAGTTCCCTGTCGGAGCTACAATTTTCAAATAGGTTTAACAATCAATCCCTCTTCCTAAAGAAATTCCTGCACATGCTGCGTTCCCTATATGGTACTGCTGCAATTTTCTACAAAGGTGGTATTGATTTTAGGAAGCCCTTT